TGTTAGCCAGTCAGGGCCGGCATGGCCAGACTCCTTGCAAAAGTGCCTGTGTACGTGTCTGCGCACCAACAGAAATACCTGAGCTTTTGTGAATCTAATTTGGAAGGGAAGCTGCAAAGGAAGTTTCTGACTGAAGACATCTGGACAAAGAACCAGTGAAATGTGGTGGCTGAACCTCTCTAGTAATTTCAATGAAGAATGAGGAAAGAACTCTTGAGTCCTGTGGTGCGTTCAGCCCAGAGCAGACGAGCTGAGGGGAGGCCTTATGGCGGCTGCAGCTCCTCACAGGCGGAGGGCAGCGCCCGAGGGAACGGCATGGAGCTGTGTCAGGGGAGGGCAGTTAGGGGTGAGGGACAGGGTCTGCACCACAGGGCGGTGGGCATGGAATGGGCTGCCCAGGGCAGTGGGCATGGCTCTGAGTGCTGGAGTACAAGGAGTGTTTGGACACCACTCTCAGATATAGGGTTTGGATTTTGGGTGGTGCTGTGTGGAGTCAGGAGTTAGACTCGGTGATCCCTGTGGGTCTCTTCTAACTCTGGATATTCTGTGTTCCTATGATTCCTTGAATATGGAGAATAATCCGTTACTCTCTCTGGGAGGAATCTGATACAGGCTTCTCATTATAACAAATCCAGGACTTAGTGGGTTGAGTCTGGACAACATTTTTGGAAATGATGTGGTTATTGGAGTAGAGAAACAGTGAGAAGGTAGAGAAAATACTCTGTCTCTTATGGAGATGTGAGGAGGCTAGAGGAGAAAGAGATATTTTAGCCCAGAATTTTGAGCTTAGTCTTTGAGGGACACCTTTTGTCCTATGTGAATTCAAGGACAGGTGGGAGTTGCTGTGAATGTGCTGGGGTAAGGAAAGCCCCCACTGCATCTGTATTCCAGAGAAGAAACACACCTGCCGATTTCACTAGGCGTCGCTGCTGGCAGTCCCCAAATTTACCCTGTGAGTCTGGAGCTCTCGGCACTGACATCTGCTCCGTTTTCTGTTGCTGAAGGCATTCAGTTAGTTTGTTGGTTGTTTTTTTCTTTCTAACTCAGGGATGTTTCTGAAGTCTTACTCTGTCTAGGTTCACAACGCTCAGTGCCTCTATCAGCTGTTACACTGTTTTGAGCATTCTTCTTGGCAATAACATATCACTCACTTTTCAGCATCTCCGTCAGTTCTTGTTACTTTTTCTCCCTGATTGAGATAGTAAAAAAGCTTGCTTCCATTTCATCTTTATCCCCTATGGTCAGCTCTGTTTACAGACTTGCTTCTTGCTTTTTAAATTGGCAAAGATTTTTTTCATGCAGTCTGAAGCCCCCATGTTCCTGGGGATCCAAGTCCCTCTGCGCTGACTCTTTTGTGACATTCCTCAGCTCTGTTTCATTTCCCTGTTTAATCATCCTCCTCCTTGCCGTGGGTCGTGCTAGATTGGTTCCTGACATCACATTTATATACCATCTGCTGATTAATAACATGCAGGGGCTTGGTTTCTCCTAATAACAGACCAGTCTAGCTTTAGACTACTTAGAAATACTGAGCTCTGCTTGCCAGGCAGTGGCATGCAAACCACAGCTGAACACTCTCTTGTTGCCTCAACTCTTGCCAACCAAGCTCTATGGCGCCGGCTTTCTAACAGTATAAAGGGCTTTTTTTCTACATATCTTAGAATCTTTGTTCCACTACTAAACTAAACTGCATATGCTTGTTCTTTCCCTGTTTGGAAGGCCTCATTGAAGCTGAGGAGCCAGTCTGACACCTTTATGGAGCTCGTCGTGGCTGGAGAAAGCTTGCCTATGCAGAGGATTGCCCTTCTACTGACAGTATGATCCTAGAGCAGACTTTCACTGAAAACGTTTGCTTATGTGCCAAGGAATTAGATACACCTCAGAAAATTTTCCTGATACTGAAGCTGTTTGGCCTGCAACGCCCTGATGCCATTTAACAACACTTACCTTTCTTCTGGAAAGGACTCCAGCCCATGCCAAATCACAGGCTGTGTCTAGGAGCTCTCTGGGATGCTGTTATCTGGCGTCAGCCAAAAACAGAGCAGAGGTTGCACCAGCAATTTGGCAACGTGGACAGAGGGATTCCAGTTACTGGGAAATCTCCCTGTGCCTAAGTTAAAAGCCAGAAAGGATATATTTGCTTTTCAGCGCTTAGAAGCTTGAGGCTGAATACCAGTTCATGCTTCATTCTTGGCAGTGAAACTTTATATCACGATGCAAACTTCTCCTCAGGATGAGGATTTCAAAATCCAACCCAGACACAGATGGGCGAGTGGTTCCCAGGAGCTATGTCTTCCTCCTTACTCATCCCACAATACCAGTGACTTCAACAGCTTTTATGGAGAGCAGTCAGGTGAGAAGATGCAAACTAGGCAGAAGGGCTGGAAAAGAAGCTTCACACCAAAGCAGAGAATCACATCAGGTTGGATATTAGGAAAAATGTCTTCTCAGAAAGAGTGGTGAGGCAGTGGCAAAGCTGCCCAGGGAGGTGGTGCAGTCACCGTCCTGGAGGTGTTGAAGAAACATGTAGGTGTGGCACCGAGGGATGTGGTGTAGAGTGGTCAAAGGCATGGGCTGATGGTTGGGCTAGATGATCTTATTGGTCCTTCCAATCATAATGATTCTACGATCTGATTTTATTTTTCTAGAAAACCTTTTTTGTAGCTGCAGGCAACAGTGGGTTTGAACTCCTGAGGTTCTGCTCAAGTTTTCCCCTTCCCCCTCCCTGGTGCCCCTGCTGCAGATCTGCAATCACTCATGTTCCCTCTCTGCACCTCCTGGCACCCCACGGGGTCTGGGAATTAGCAGCGCTAAGTGCTGAAAGGAAGGGAAACGTCTGGGCCATAGCAGGGGAGCGAGAGAAGTGGCAATTCCAGGGCTGAGGCCTCCTGAGCCCCTTGCTCTGGCAGCAAATCCTTGCCGGTATCCTCTGCTGTGAAGCCGGCAGGCTCCTGCTGTCTCCAGGTGGAGCTTTTACTCCAGCAGCAGCCAGCGTAGCTCCCGGCTGAGAGCCGCGAAGGGCACCGCGAAGTACAATGTAAAATTACCTCGGCGCTTGAGCACACATGAGCCCTAAATAAACCCGAGCCTAATGCTCAATCCCCATCTCTCAAATCCTAATTAAACATCCACTGATAATTCTGCTGTTAACCCTTTCCTCTCAGGGCTGCGTCAGGATCTTTTGAATTGGTCCCTTGGGCTCTTTAGGCTCCTGCTTTGGGTCTCCTACATACAGGATTTAATTAAGTTGACCCAGTTTATGTCTAGGAAGGCAAGAAAAAAGAAAAGATTAACCCTATACACCTTTGCATATCTGACCTTCTAATAGTGTTTGACAGCACTGAAAATACTGCTCTGGGCTTTGGGGCGGTGGGGAAGGTCAATATAAGATCCACAGGTAAGCCTTTTTTCCTCACCTTTTTCATGTTGCTCTGTGTTTATTTCATATATTTATTTATTTAAGGTAAGAAAAGTAAAGCAGTGTTCCACGGCTGCCTGCTTTTGTGTTGATTTGATGCTGGCATGGGCACTCATAGGGAAGGGCCAACACTTCCTGGTTTATGGTTGGGGAAGCCTCAGGGGTATGGGCTGCCTCCTGTTTCCTCTGGATAAGAAGAGAAATAGGGATGCTTTGTGAGAAGCAGGTCAGGTATTTTTGTTGCAACAGCCTTCTGTCAGAATTAGGCTTTCATGTGTTTCCTTGGAATTAAGATGTTATCACTGATGTTTTATTTTGTTTACTGGGGGAAGGAAAATGGATAAAAGATGCAAAAGAAACAGAGCCCAGGGGGAAGAAAGAGGTCAGGCAATATTTAAATAGTATGCGTTGTTGTTTTCTTTTATGGAAATGACTCAGTCATTGAGTAATAAAATCTTCTTAAGAAAAGGATCAAAATGAAATACTGTTTTTAAGAAATTTTAACTGGTGCACTAGTGAACCTAAAACATTTTGTTTGTATTTTTCTGTTATTTAAAAACAGATTAACCAGGTTATGTTTGCACTCAGCTCCAGTCATCCTCTTGTTGATGGACCTTCTTTTGTGATGTTCATTCCTCCTCCTCTTTCTGTAGAACCTGGCTTTGGAACTGTTTGTTTTAAAATGCCATTCCCCGTACTGTAGAGAACAGGCTATGTTTAAAAATGTATTTGTTAGGGCAATTGCACCAACTAGAGATGGCATATAAACTAACCAGGATTTCATTTCAAAGCCTAGGCTGGATAAGTCCCTGCAAACACAGGAAGGGAAGGATGCAGGAATGTTAGGAAAGCAGCAAATAAACGGCTGGCTATTTTGTGACCTACAGGAGGGACCCAGGAGCACCACGTCCCTGACAGGGAGATTTGGTAGCCTTACTGATTACTGTCAGCCTGGGTTATAGGTCTAGCTAGGATCCAGTCTTCCAAGCACTTCTACATGTGAGAGACTCTCAACTGGTTGAGAGACTCTCTCATCTCTCAGCCTCTGCACTGCTTCCTTGCACACAGGGATGGGGCTGCAGGGTGCGTAATTTCATATGACTTGCTCTAATATTAATATCTCCATGTGCAGCCGTCATTGCACTGAGAATAAACTGTTATTTTTTATTTTAAATGGTTAATATTCATCAAATGTTTATGAAAATACTTAACCCATAATGATGACAAACACGGTGCCTAATAAAGATAGAAGTGAAGATCCTCTTTGTGAATATGTAATCAGAAGAGTAAAGAAAATTACATTAAAAAGACTTCATTATGCCATTAAATGTGAGAAATGACTTTTTCTTCTCCATTTTAATTTTAGCTTCTTTCTTTTTTTTTTTTTTTTTGCTTTTTTGCTTTTTAAATATCCTGACACTTTCATGAGACGGGTACATAAAGAGACACTGTCTGCTGTAACCAGAAGAACTCTGACTGGCAGCATCCATCATTCTCATCCACATTTTCACTTCATTTATCATTAAGAAAAATCAACACAATTTCTACCAATGATTGTAATTTTTTTCTTTATTTTCCCTAGGGAGAGAGAGATCCTTATTACTGCTGTGAATGCAACACGTTGCCTCAAAACTGTCTGTAGAGCTGCTGGCCCAAAGTCATTCCTCTAACTCAGGGGCTTACTGATTTGTGAGTATACATGCACCTATTTTTGTCTGACAGCCTGGAGTTTGTAACTCACACCTCTGAAACTAATAGGGTGAATCTTTGCTGTTTGAATCGAAATTTTAAAAGTAAGGTTGTCTGATAGATTCATTTAGGGCTGTGTGTTGATAGGTCCAGAAAAAATGGATCAGACATTAGGTGGAATGTCTTTCACAACTGTCCAAAACTTCACAGTCCCAGAGCAGTCAGAAATGTTATATCAGCTTGCTGATACCCTGGGTCGAATTGCACTATGATGGTAAATCTCTACAGCTTGATGGTTTAATGCGGTTACGCAGATTTGGGCTGTGGTAAACTTTTCTGAGGAGGAGGGAAAAGAAGCATTAGTGAACATAAGCCTGATCTCAAAAGGAACTCATGAGAGAGAACAAAGCTAGATGCACCCAAAAGCCTGCACTTCTCTGCAGTCTGCATTCACCAGCTTTGCTGATTAGCCATGGAGAAGGGGCAGTGCTGCTCTGCTTAAACGGGCAGCACAGCATGTGTGCTCTCAGAGGGAGTTCAGGAAGCAGCAGGTTCCTTTTAAGGAACACAGAAAAGAGGAAAGAAAGAATTTATTTAAGTTGTGTGTTAATTGCAGTTTTAATTTAAACAACTAACGTTAGCTTTTGGCAAGAAACTCTAGCAGTTCTGTATTTAACATGCACCTTTATTGCAACAGTGCTTCAAAACAAAACATGTTCTCATCTATTTAGGCTCTTATGTTGTACGCATCTCCATGGAGCCAAATAACATACACCTCTTTTGCATCACCCAAGGTGTGTCCCATGTGTAGATCTGCTCTTACCATGCATTTTTCTGAGGAGTATTAAAATTCATCTGAGACCCGTTCCCTTTAGTCAGACAAATGTCTCTTTGGTAAACTAGGTAACGATCTGATGGCTCCCAGTTTGTGAAAGTTTTGAAGAGCACTGCAGCTCAGTTGTATGTTTTCAGAAGCTTGGCCTCAGTTGTGTGGAGTTGTGTCCTTTCACAGATTTGTCATTTTAGCTCTCCTTTCAAAGCTGAGAAGAGCTTCCATGGGTGGTGAGTCAGGTGCAGGCATTCTATGGATAAACAGATTGTGAAGAAGGCTCAAAGAGTTGTGAGGGGGAGGAGAGTCCACAAGCCAGATACGTAACAAAGAGGCTTCCTAATCAAAATGTGATCAGAGAGGCTGCTGCCTTCTCTCAGCCTACTCCTTTCCATCTAAAACTGCTGACAAATGGCTATGCTGTTTTTGCAATTACAGCTCTCTGAAAGTGATAAATTATTCTGATAATTCTTAAATACAGCAATTTTATGTGTATAATTAATACACAGGCGTGAGTACGTGATAACTGGTAGGCCATGTTCAGGTTCCATTTACACCACAACAGATCTGGAGTAGCTCTGTCTGTCTCTGTTCGTGGAAAGCTATTAGGAGATTGGGCTTGCACGCTTTGAATACTGTGCTGACGTCTTCCCTGTCAGAATAACAGACATAATACAGTTCATATGTTTTAGTCCCCACAGGTAAAACTCTCCCTCCCAGAAAACTGCAGCAGTAAGAGAAAGGAACAGTCTCTCATGTACCACACTGATACATCCAGGAATGAATCCTAACCTAAGAGCTTCAGGCCCTGAGGGCATTATAGCCCTGAAGTTACCATATTTCTGGTCAAAAACATAGGTGTGAAGTGTATACTGAATAACCTGTTGACTGTGCAAAGGACAAAATGCATAGCATCAATCATGAGATCCTGCCTTCTCACCTGTTGTCTGTTGGCATTGAAGAAAATCTAGTCCTACACTTTTTGTAGCTGAGTGCTTCCCATAGAATGGGCACTGCATGTTGAGCTCAGAATATGTAATGTAAGGCTGGCACCAGCAACAAAAAATACTCCATGCACAGAGCCAGAATAAGAATAGGAAAAGGAAATTGTATAGTAATATAGTCTCATGACATGGTTACCCATTAATGCCAGCTTTAAAGGTTAATGCAATTTAACTCGCTCTCGGCTATTACTCTGAAATAATATACCAAAGCTTCCTCTATAAGCAGATAACAGATAAGGATGCTTTATGATAAACACCCCCAATAAAACTGCAGAATTTTGCAATATTACGCTTGCGGGAGTGGCAGATTTGCCTTTATTTGTGCATATGTATGTGTGTGGAGGAAACCAGAGTGGAGAGAAGGGAGCTGGAAGAGGAATTTTTGGCTCTTAGACTATCAGACAGCTTGATATATCTGTCTTGTGTGTGTTGCTTCTTGCTAATACAGTAGAAATGAATTGACGTATCACATGTCTGCTGCAAGCTGAGTTTCCTCTTACACCGTCAGAAACAAAGGTGCTGCTATACAAACTACTGATGAGAAAATTTGTTGGGTTTTATTTATTTATTTATCATTTGTCAGAACAAAACCACACTATACCAGCAAAACATAGAGCTCTTTCTCTCCATTCATCCTGTTTCAAAGTGTTCCTACAAAATATTTCAGTGTTGAAGTTTTCCTTCCAAATAATAAATAAAAAATTCAATCATGTTTCACTATGGAAAATTGTGAGGCAACTGAGAGCAGGGCTTACTGTGTCTCCTTGTGGAGTACACAGAAAATACATAAGCGTGTACTGCCTGGGGATCACTGTAACATTTCATTAATATGCTTAAAATCCTTTAAGATCTTTCATTACATTCCTTCATAGGTTAAAGGACAATATTTGCATGACCGTAGGACAACGAAATATTTTTTTTACAAATATTATCCTTAAAAATTTTAGGACTCAGGAAGGTTTTATATGTCTCAAACTCACACACACAGCGGCACACAAGCACACACACATTTGGAAAGTATTATTTCTTAAATCATTAGGCAAAATGCATTTCATTCTGGAGAGAGAAGGTAAGCCCTGGTGCAAGAATTCTATTCAAGACACAGGAGACAAACCTCTTCTGCCTTCTTTCCCTCAGAGTTTTTCCCCTTACTGATGTGACGCTGTCGTCCCTGCTTTTTCAAAAATGTTGTTGATAGGAAGCACTGGCAGAGACTAGTGTGAAGCTGAAAGGTCATACAATACTACTGCACTGTGATTCTGTACAGATGTGCCTTGCATCACCTGTCTGTCTGTCAATTTTATTCCCTTGATTAACTTTTTTACCCAGCAGATTATGTCTTTATGTTTGAAGGGCTTTTTTTTTCCCTCTTGAATTGTCTACTATTCCTCACGATGCTTCTATTTTTCTGTTCAACATTCCTCTCTTCTGCTTCACATCTTCTTTTCCTTTTTGCTGGAATATGACATTGCCTTGAAAAGAACCATTGCAATTCTGTGATGTATCTGGCAAGGCTATTTCCAGAAAGGGAAATATGAGGTATTTCAGTAATAGTATGAGAAACTGAGGAAACCTCAGTCAAAATATTGTGGCCAATTTGGGTCACTTCTGATTAAAATAAAAAGTGACAAATAGTGAAGTGTTGTGAGAATGATTAGGGGAAGTAGCAAAGCTTTTAAAAAGTGTGTGTGGGAGGCTTGATTAGACTAGCAAAGAAAGACAAGAAGGAGTACAACTTCATAAATACCCTCTCTGTAAATACCAGGATGCAGAATTGTTTCAACTGAAGAAAAGCAGTGCTTAAGGATCAGATGAGAATAAATTAGCTAGGAAATTAGGAGAAGGTTTCTGAACTTCAAAGGAAAGAAATTCTGGCCTTTCATACAGGGTAGCAAGGGCAAGAAACTTAAATAATTAAAAAGTACTGCTTGCTGAGTTCATAGAAGGAAATTTATTGTGTTTATATTTTAATTAATTAATTTCATGCTACAGAGCTTCCAGTGACCACTTCTGGGGTAAAAAAAGGAAGATACTTCATTTCCTAGTCCTTTATTTTCTTGGATGTGTGTGTAGGAGTGGGAGGTATGAAGAGTGAGGAGGGGGCAAGCCGGTCTTTCTTTGAGCATTAAATTGCCTAAACAAGGAATTGGCCGAGCTAAAGACAAAGCAGTAGGTAGGTTATGCTGATCTCTTGTTGGTACAGTCTGACTGATTTAACTCGAACTAAAAGCATTAACTGGATGTAGGATCAGGAAAGAATTTTGCTCTGGACTATAAACCAAGGATGATTTAGTCTGATTGCTCATTTGGTCTTCTGCTGTAGCTGTGTGGAGCATGATTCACTTCCAGAACTCTCTGTGTGTCCACCTGCATGCAATTAAATGAGTCTAAGATCCTCCTAAGACTATTCATCCATCCCAATGTCTTGGTTGGACTTGTTATAGTTTTGTGGGTGTTTTGTTTTTTGTTTCTTGGTGGGCTTTTTTTTCCCATTAAATGTTGTAAATTTATGCTGTGTTTTCACTTTAATTGGAATGGGATTGAAGTGGACATGATGGATGTTTCTCAGCTTAATGTCTGTTCCATTGTTGCCTATAGTTGTTGGAAGATGTAATCAATAACCAATACATTCAAATTCTGTTCTATGTCTGTTCAGTGAATAATTTATCTCCTCCTTATTTCTGCCACTATCTTTGAATTTTTTTGGTTATTTACTTCTTTTATTCCTTCTCTTCCAATCAATTTTTTTTTCCCACTTGGTTGACCTTTCTCCTTGGATTTCTTCCTCCATTCTCTATGGGTTAATCTTTCCTGTTCCCACTGTAAGCACCTTTCTCTATGTGATTTCACAGAGATATGACTCTTAAAGAAGCAGCTTTGCATGTTGTGGATATCCACATTTCTGGCAGTGTTGTCACTGCAAATCTGAATTGGATTAACGTGGAATTCACAAGTTGTTCTTTGCTTATTCCACAATTCATGTTAAGAATCTAGATTAAAGTCTTCAGAACTTGCAAGTATCATTTTATGCCCTCAAATGCTGTGAAGCATCCTTTGTTACTCAAACCCCAAAGAATAGAGGAGTAGACCAAGAAGCCAATCCCCTCTGTTGTCCACATCTATGACCTACCCAGTGTTCACCATAGTTCCCTTCAGACATTTCTGGATTGTGGTTTCTGTGGTAAGTCTTTAGGGTCTTTTCTTCACACCAGGTTGGGATATGAGTACAGTTTACTTGCTGATGCTCAGAAGGATTGCAGCTGAGACATAGCTCCTGGCATCCTAAATAATGGTGGAAGTTTCATAACTTTCATGTTCTATCTCTATGGAATGAGTCTCTCATGAGCACCTACTTAGTGAAGGCATGCCACACCAGTCCCACATTATTCCTTTGACATTCACATTTGTCTTGGCAGTTCTGAAATCGGGAAAGAAAGAGTAATCTTTGTGCCTCTGTCCTGGCTACCAGCAAGTATCACACAGAGAGGACACTGGATCTCATGTCTGGTGTTCTTGAGCCAGGAAGTTCTGATGGATAACAGCAGACTGGTATTATTTTTATTCATCTCACGTGTATCCAGAAGACCTGCTGGCTTTCTTGGCAACACACTGCAAAGACCTGCTTGGCAGTGTAGCTGATTCTGAATTATTCCACACACACACAAGTGTATATATATATATATATCTTAGTTTTGTTTTATATACCATATGAAGATCTGAGTTTGTACACACCAGATGTTCCAGTTGGACTGAACAGTGTTCAATGAATCTTCTGTTTAGAAAGTTTTCTAAGGAAAGGAAAGAGATGTGCTGCAGAATATCCGTTAACTAAATGATCATTTTATGTGAGAGAGACAAGTTCAAGTCCCTGTTCTTCTTGATTCAGACCAAGGACTTGAACTCTGTGTGAATAACATCTCACATAATTTCCCCAGTTGCAGTGCTAGCTGTGAGCGGTTAAACTCTTATTCAGAATGACAAAGCACATCATACAGAAAGAAACCAAAGATGTCATAAAATACATACATCTACATTAGCCATAGGTCTGACTATGTTGTGTCAGGAACAGCGTTGAAGAAATGCTGAATGAGACACATACTATTTTGACATAAACAAAAAGCAAATAAGAGAGAAAAACACTTTGGCTCAGACAATGTCAAGGCCTAGCAGGAAATATAACAGCCAGGAAAGGAACATGAAAATGCAGAGCAGGTTTCTGATGGGAGTTCAGGCTTCAAGAAAGAGTGAAGGTAAACAAGTAAGAGACACTAAAACAAAGTGGAGAGTTCACTCCTTGATGGATAATACTCCTTTTCACCATAGAAGACTGCATTAAAAAGGCAGGGAATATACAGACTTCAGAAGAAATTTGGGTGAAATATGTCCAGTCTTGCTACTCCATCCCTTCTTTCTCTTCAGATGACACTTCAGCCTTGTGAGAGCATGGCTGTTCCCAGAGTTTTCATTTGACTTAAATCAAGCAACCAGAGGAGAAACAGACTGCTCAATTCCATGTTGCATGCAGCAGGAGGATTGGAGCTACTCAGCTGAAACAGTTCAATTCAGCCACTGAAGAACTGGAGGAGAATCTGATACCATCCTGCGGGGTGATGGTTCATAAGGGATTTTTGAGTGGGCCCAACTTCATCTGTGCAAGTAAGGGAAGAATGAGTCAATACACGATTTCTCAGTGCTCCTGCACTGCCTGTGCCAATTCTGTGGCTACAGAGATGTGAGTGAGAAATGTCCTCTGGCTTACCATATTGCTGAGAGACAACGTATTCTCGCATGGCATCTGAACATAATAAGGTAGCCCAAAGCAATGTCTAGGGAAAAGGAAGGTGCAGACTGTGCTCTAAGTTCTGTAGTCAACTAGAGAAAGGCTGAAATCACATAATTTCTGTCCGCACTCTGAAACATTCAGGCCTTCAGTCTGCACATCCCTCCAGCTACAGCCACCACCCCTCCAGAGACTTCTTTAAAGAGCTGAGTGATTTCTTAGAGCTGTTCTGAAGCAAATTGATTTAACTCCTTTGTGCCTGCAACTGAAACTTCCTTATTGATGAAGTACCAAGAAAAATGCCAGGTCAACAGAAAACACTGACATTTTCTGTCTTCCCAATGCCAAAGGAGAACAAATAATGACAAGAAAATAAATGCCAAACATATAACCCATTACACCATATTTCTGTTTCCTCATCAAGCCTTTTTCCTGTGCAATGTCATGAATGAGAAGACATGCTGGTGGAGCTAGGGCACAGAGAATCAGAGTAGGATGGGTGCAACTGCCGAAAGTCAGGACAGAGGATCTTTTAGAGATCTTCTTTTAATGTTATCAGAAGCTCCTAGCTTGCTCTGCCTTTACTGTGTGTGACATTTCATACCTGTTCTTTGATGGCTACATTCTCTGTCCTCTAAATCCTGCCGATGACAAGGACTCTATATGCTGCATTTTCACTGCAAATCAGGAGCTTAGTGCCCTGGTGAATGAACTTGGGAATTGTTCTCTCTGTATAACTTTTCTTCCCTTGCATGGCCTCAGGTGAATTCAATTTTTTTTTTTTTAAATCCAAGAAATTGCCTGCTTACAGGCTTGTAACTTCCAACAACCAAAGTCCCGTGTGGCTCTTCTTAATTGTCCATATAAATTGCTTTCTATTTTGGACACCATGAATATCTCAATAGCATCTGCTTCTCCCTTCTGGGCACCACCAACTGTACATGAAATTCCCCCCAAAGAGGCCAGGTAAGAACTTTTCCTTTGTTGAAAAGATAAAGAAATAAAGGAAATTATGCAAAGGACAAGCTGGCTTCCCATTAGATTACACAGGTGAAAATACAGCAGAACCTGTTACTAAGCCATGAGAAAGAAGATGCTAAACAGTAGTTCTCCACTGTTCATATGCAGCTTCCAACCAGAATGAGGTTCATCATGATCAACATATTTACCAGGATTTTTGGGACATTTTTGGTAGTAACAGCAACTCTGTAGAAGATCTATTTCTTCTTCAGCTGTTTTATCCCCTCTGAAACTCAAGCTATGAAAATTCAAAGCGCATTTGACGTTGCATAGTCTACAGTCTGCTACCAGGCAGATGTGGGTATTGTTCACTTTATTTTACTGATGAAGACAATAGAATCGAGAGGAGGACAAGTGGTACCTTTTCAATCTCAGCAAATCAGAGACAAAGTCAAGAATTCTAGTCGTATGTCTTGACTTTCTAAATTAAGCACAAGACCACCTTTCCTAGTGGAAAGGCTGCCAGAGACTTACACTGCCACAATTACTGCCTTTAAAACAATTGAAGAATGGCCTTCTGAGCATATGAACATTAGGCACTCTGTATACCATCAGGCTAGATCTGCACTGGAAAATGCCTAACTTACCAGTGAATGAACTAGAGATTTCTGCTCCATGCAAGAGTGAAAAAAGAACAATGTTAATGAGCAAATGTGCGGTGAAAAGCATTCTTGTTTTCTTCTTCAGCATAGCCATATAATTGAGAAAGTGCCTCTCCTACATCATTTCCTTTAGATTGTTAGTTGTCTCAGAAAGTGTTGGTTGATCTCATCCAACAGAAAGGGACACTTCTATTTCAGTCCTCTCCTGTCTACTATCCTGACCACATTTAGGAGATGGGGCAAAATCACTGCCCGACTGATATGGCAGTAGTCATGAAAATGAAGAGTGAAAAATTGCCACACGCAGTGCCAATCTTATTATTATCAGTCAAAGCTGCATTTTCCGCTCAGCATATAATTGCGCTTTGGACTAGATGGGTATAAATTGAAGATTGGCTACAGCATAAATGATCATTAGATTGAAACTAAAACAAAGCTAAATTATCGGAGAGCCAGGGAGAGAATGTGTTTTGTTATGCACTGTGTTGGCAGCACCATCTGAGTGCCTCTGCATTATGCTGTTTTAATGTTTCAGGTTGGAAAAAGATGTAACATGGAGGAAAAAGCTGCTCAAAAGAAGACGTTGGTTTTCTTTTCCTTGGGTACAAATTGCTCTATCCTTGCACTCTCCATTGCTGTCTGTTTAAGCTCTGAATGGTAAAGAAAATGCTGAAACTGAGTTTGGATGAGATCAACCACAGGTACCAAGAGAAGGGAAAATGGGGGATTTGTTGAGAATAGTAGAGGAAAGTTGTGTGTTTTGTTTTGTTTTCTTTTCTTTTAGGAGGTTAGGAGCTGTTCATTGCCACTTTTTGCTCGATATTAGCCTAGAAGGTCCTTTTAGATTCCCTTGTGGTTTTAGTTATGAAATGGATACTTTTCCCCTCGCTGTATCTGGCCCATTACTTTAAATTAAGATAGGGGAGGTTTAGGTTAGGTAGTAGGAGGAAGTTTGTCACACAGAGGTGGTGACACACTGGAACAGGTTGCCCAAGGAGGTTGTGGATGCCCCATCCCTGGAGGCATTCAAGGCCAGGCTGGATGTGGTGCTGGGCAGCCTGGTCTGGTGGTTGGTGACCCTGCACATAGCAGGGGGGTTGGAACTGGATGATCATTGTGGTCCTTTTCAACCCAGGCCATTCTATGATTCTGTGATTTGTCTTCTCACAATTGCCTACTGTACATTCATGATCAATATGCAGCACACGAGAGCTTGCTCTTTACTTTTGTATCAGTTTGTTTTCTCAGCACTAATTTCTGTGCTTTGAAGCTTTTTTTTTTTTTTTTTTTTGTGCTGCATTAACTCTTCAGCATGCTGATAAACTTTTCCATTTCTCTTCACGCTCTCCATCACACTTTCCATTGCATACTTATATTCTTTGGTTCAAGCCAGGGGTGACAGTAAACCACATCTGGAAAAAGAAGAGAAAAAAATAGTTTCTTCCCTTTGTCTCCTGTTCAGTTTGAAAGTCCTTATCCTGTACGCTACATGATGGTCTCAGACTCTTTAGGAGGCTGTGTTTGGAAAACATCATGGCTGTTGTGCTCAGCCAGGCATTCAATTAAGCATTAGTTGAGTCTGGAAAGGGCTATACTTTCTTTTCTTTCTTTGATTGGATACTGTGAGTCAAAGGAGCTTTTATGATGGGTTGAACATGGTGAGTAATTTCTACTTCTATGCATGTAAGTATTATTTTATAGCATCTAGTTACTTTTGTTATAGGTATTATGAGATAATAAATAAATAAAATATTATGAGTTAGTGACTGCAATGCTGATTCTGTTAACAGGCTTATTCTCCCTCTGTTACCTATATTTGTTTAAAGTGGCTTCATTTAACATTTATGTAGGCTTTGGTGCAGAGAAAATGTGTTACAACAGGAGTTTGTCCTGAGGGATCCTTACAGTACTAACAGCTACATCATCTACTGAGGCAGGTATTGCTAAACAATGATATGAAAAGACATTATCTAGGTCACTTAAAATCATTTTTAAACACTTGTTTTGCGGTGAAATCCTGTGAAAGCTAATCCAAGTTTATTCTTTTACCTTTTTGTTGACTGTGAAGAGGTACAGGCATTACTCAGGCACTAGGTGGAAGCTGGATGTCATCATGTTGCTCTGTTACATCCCTAGCAGAATACATTGCATTACTCCAATCATGATACAAAAGGCAGATTCACACTCACTGCTAATTTGTCTACTCTGTCCCACTCTATCAGTTGATTGAGCCAGCCTGAACCTGGGCTTAATCATTTTCCCCAAAGGTCAGAGAAAAAATAAGTTCCAGAATGTGCAGGGGCAGAAAAAAAAAAATAATCAGAATTTCTTCTTTTCTAGTTCAGCCTATGTTTATTTCTCATTGTGTGGCTTTGGGCTTCATCTCATTATTTCTTTGTACTGCTCTTTTCCCATCTGATAAGTAGGGTTGATTTTAATAAAAACTTCCTAAGTTCTGTGTAATGCTAAGAGCCTGCAACAAGCCTACATGAAAATTTAAATTCTTACTACTACAAAATATTTATTTTCTGCTAGGCTCCTCAGAACTGTTCCCCTTACTGAAACCCTGCAGGAGTGTACTATAACCACCTTCTCTTGGGATCAACTGAAAATTGCCAAAGAGAAAGACATGTATATTCATCTCAAGTTTGGATACTAACATGCTGCTGTGCTCTGTGGGTATTAATTTGAGGCAGAAAACGTCACCTGTTTCTGAAAGAGTGAAATTCAGTCTCTATGCTCCCTCTGCTTTGGGATCATGCTCTGTATTCTAATATATATACTGTTTATACAAGTATATACTAGTGAATAAACTGTGCTTTGGAATACCAAGAAAATTTGGAACAAACACAGTCAATAGGACACTAACAGAAATAATTGGGGGGGCATAAGAGTCAGAGTAAAAAATAGTCTAGAAAAAAAAAGATCAGTGTGATAGTTGAAGGAAAACTGTTTGTTTAACCTAAAATTAAAAAAAAAAAAAGAGAGAGAGAGAGAGAGAAAGAGAAAACTGAGAATAATGACAGTCTTCAAGAACATAAAGAACATGAAAAGCTTTGGAAAAAAAGAAGGTATGAAACTATTCCCCATGGCTGTAACAAAACAAGGAAATAATGAGTTTAAATTGCAGTAAGAAAGGTTCAAGTAAAACAAAAGATTACTTGAGTATGTAATGCAGTTTCCATCATTAGAGATCTCTAAGAACACAGTAGATAAGTAAGTTTCAGGAATGACATATTTGTATTTGATGTTGATCCGAAGTCAAGAAGATGGACTAGATATCTGTCATAGTCCCCTCTAAATCTCTGAATTAGACAAAAGAATGCGATGCCTTAAATTTTGTTGTAGTTGCAATGGTCTAAGGATATCAGCAAGGCAAAGTTTTATCAAACAATCTGAAACAGATCTTTTATTAGACTAATTTTGCACCTAAAACAATAATACATCTTCAGATTTTCTGCCTCTAACTTGAAAAACAAGAAATTGCACTTCTGCTTTTTCCACATTTTTCCATATCTTTCTAATAAATTACAATACCTTTCCCTACAGATTTTGCCCTGCATAGTCCAACTATAGCAATGACCTAAGGATATCTGGGAAAAACCTATCTCTTGTACAGTGTCTTTGTTCTTCAGAATGAACTGTAGAAATATTTTTATGCTATCTTGAACAAGAACTGCTGAACAAAATGGTCTTTTCAAAATATTCAGGTTTTATTTCAGCTTTGATTATTTGCAGTTGTTCCAATGAAGCATGTGATATTTCATTCCTTTCCAGTTTGTGCAAATATACAAGTATGTCTCTCATGATGTGAAAGACTTTGAAAGGTACTGAAATGCACTTGGTCTTTTGAGTATTCGGGGCAACAACCAAAAAAAAAAAAAAAAAAGAAAGAAAGAAAGAAAGAAAGAATAAAAGAAAAAAACCCACAACAAAACACAGAAACCAAAGAAGTGATCACAGGCCAGCATTTCTGGAAAGCGTGTTTGAAAAGTGCCTATGTTGAAAGACAGAGTTTGTAAGAAAAAGTTGGGCATCTATTAGCAGCTATCTTTTTCTTCAGTATTATCCAAGCTTTAAGAATCTGCTTAATCGTGTCATTCCTGTTCTGGGGATATCACTTTTCTCTATGCTGAAAGAGGACCATTTCCTCACTTGTCATTTTTATTCGAGGCCATTCTGTCAGGATATATTCCCTCCCTGCCATACTAAGATCCATCTCTCTTACAGTTTCTCAATGCCCAGCATTGCTGCAAACACCTCTTTCTACCTACAGAATATATTTCTTTTAGCTTCCCAGAAAGACAGTTTATAATATGATAGTAGAAAGAGAGAATGAGCTGTCACTGGAAGGAGTCAGAGATGGTTTATTGTTTTCTACCAATTCCCCAAATCCTAAGAACGGAAGGTCTATGGATTAGACTAAGTTGTATCTACTATAGTCCCATATCTCAAATACAATGAGATTGTGCTCTTACGAAATCACCTGATGACAGAAAAACAGATGACAGAGCCTGGTACTAATTCAGTATAGTCTGTGGCCATAAAAAGCTCTAGACAGGGACAAAGGGGTGATTTACACTGCTCAAAAATGCCAACTCCATCAAGCAGAAGTATTATTAAGGATGAGATATACTTAATACAAATCTTAATACTTAAGATTATTAAGTTATTACTTATTGCCTGAATCATTATAAGTAACTGTTTTTACTCTTTATGTACAGATAATGCAAGATAAAACACAAGTCTTTAAGCCTGTGCCAAAGTGGCCTGAGCTGATGTGTTTTCCTTGCATTAGTGAGTTACCAGTCAGAGGTTCTGTGGAAGACCTGAGTGTGCAGCTGAGCACTTCCACAAGTTGTACGCTGATCTTTTGCTTCTGTTCTTATTGCACAAATTAGTAGCTTTCCAGGAGTGCGTTTACTGGCACTGCTAAGACACTACTGAGGCATGATAAAATTCCTTAGATAGAAGAATGATTTCAACAATCTTCCAACTGATATGAGGCCTCTTTAACATAAATATGTTTTTCATTTTTCTTTCTCCCCCTCTTTTTTTTTTTTTTTAATATATACAGGCTTCAACTTCACATTTATGCTAAGTATTAACACTATTAAATAAATAAACCTAGTACAAGGAATGAAAAGTCACAAGGCTTTGGTCATCTGTGGAAGACTACCCTAAGAACTCATAATATTACTATAGCAGAGAACAACATCTGCAACCTGGAGTTTTCGGTGATGTTTTAAATATATTGGGCCCAGGCCATGAGGATAAAGAGAAAGACCATAAAATTTGCTTTGAGATCTGTGGAGGGGCAGTAGAGGACAAGTTTGATGTGCTGAGAGTTGTTTGTATTGCTGCAGGGGCTGTATCAATTAGACTCTCCAAAGGGTTGTTGCAATTCTGTAACCCAAACAGAAGGGGAAAAAGCTTGGCTTCTGAAGACCAGAACCTCATGTGCCAGAATGGAGTGGAGTCTTCTAGCCAAATGAGGATGGCACAGAGCTGACCATGGATGCACATTGCCTGTGGCACAGGGTTCTGAGGCCTTTCAAGCTCTGCCTAAACAGACTGTTTGTGGCTGTTTAAAATATGTAACAGCTACCACAGAATGATTATAAACTATTCAAAGTGCTTTCTTTGCCTGCCAGTGTAATCTCCATCTTCCTCAGGTTCAGCTCTCACAATCTGTACTTCATCCACAGAGCCCCATCATGTTGAAGAGATGGGCCACCCTGATCTAATGAGATCATCGTACGCAGTGAAATTAAAGCAGACCTAGGTCTAAAACTTAGGCACTGAATCTATTCCATATTCTTCCAGGAAATGTTAGGAAATAGATGTTAGATAGGAGTGGACTGAGAACTGATGTGTGGAGCCATGAGGTCTGGAAACCTGTTGATACTGCAGAAAGTTTTGGTATAGATCTATAGGCTCTTTACTGATGCTTTGTCAAGGCTATATATTCCACATGGGAGAATTTACTCTTAAGCTGAGTACTCTTCTCTGTTTTCTGATTTTTAGCATGCATTATTTCAATTTTAATGCTCCATCTCTCTTTAGCTGAACTTTTCTTCTCCTACCACTTCTGCCACAGGACCTTAAATTAATACGATTGTATGTTTTTGTATTTCTTTGTGGTTTTTGTAAGAGAAAAATATGGGAATCAGATTCAGAAGTAAGACCGGCACAATGTTATACCTTCCAACCTGCAACTAGCAGCTCTGGCAGAACTGAAATATTTAATTCCACCTCCTTTGAGATGCAGCAATCCCCAAATTTCAGATCCAGATCTGAACTGTCAGTATGATTTTAGAACAGTGGCTTCAATGTCAGCCTTCAGTCTCACTGCCATGAAGAAAGACATTTCCTATGGAAAGTTTGGACGTAGGTGAACAGTATTTGAAGGGTCAAAACTGAATTTAAAAGAAGTCAACATACGGAAAAGGAAATTGTTTTCTGTTATGCTATCCAAGGAGGAAAAAAAAAGTCTGACTTGGATTAAAACAGAAATTTTGGCATGGATCATGCAGTAAACTGCTTATTTCATTGTTGGTTGAGAAATTACAGTCAGGTGGTCACTGTCTCCTTTGAATGTCAATGTCATGTTTCATTATAAGTTATTTAATTCTCTTTCAAAATATATACATATATTTTCATGTTTGCTCTAGAGAGTTGATCAGTTCTTAAAAGAGTATGAAAAGGTTTAGGTTTGTTGAGGAAATTTCAAAGTGAAAAATTTCAGTGTCTTAAAAACTTTTTAATGAAAATATCTCATTAGAACTCTTCCATTACCCATCTTTTCTGTTTGTTTATTGCAAAAATTTTCCCCTAGGGACAGGTTAGAATACTAAAGAAAGGTGGGCTAGTGGAAATTGTTCACTAAATCAGGACAGTCCCCACAAATCTCTTCTTTCAAAAGCCATTTTACCATTCCTCACCATGTTCTTTTCCTCTCTTAGGGTGGATTATCAATTTGTCATTTGAGTCATCACTTTCAAAGCACTAAATCCCAGTTACAATTCTGCCATGTACACTGTAATTTAGTCCAGACTAAGACTTCCTCTATATAGATCTTTCACAGCTCTAGGCCATCAGGTGAAATCTGACTGCTGCTTATAATTCGTCCAAAACTCAGTTGTCAGTATTTGTGACTTCTGCTTTAGCCCAAAGTCTTTATGGTAGAATAAAAAAGTATTATGATAATAAAGGAAGTGCTTCCCCCTTCCTGGAAGCATTCAAGACCAGACTGCATGGGGCTTTGAGCAACCTGGTCTAGAGGGAGGTGTCCTTGCCTGTAGCAGGGGGGTTGGAACTCGATGATCATAAAGGCCCCTTTCAACCCAAACCATTCTATGATTCTAAAAGATTACAAAGCTTTACCACAAGCTCTTTGAACAACTTCAGGGAAAAGCATTGTGAGTTTTGTTACATTGGTTCCACATCTGTAAAATAGAGATAAATGACACTGAAGCACACCACCAGGGGGTATTTTGAGGCTAAATTATTCAATGTTTCCAAGGTTCCCAAAGCCTATACTGGTGAACTCAGTTGAAAAATCTATTACATTACATAGGTCTATGGAATCAACAGTAGTAAAAAACTTTCTGTATTCATGTGCATAGACCGGTTTTTAAATATTAATAATGTGTTTTTTGTTGTTATTGTTTTTCCAAATGTGTTCCTTCAGTCTCCAAAATGAAGAAGGGCAGAGACAGTTTGCCTGAAAAACCAAAGCCATTCAAATACAGTACAGTGAGAACTTTAGTTCTAAGGAAGCCAGCCAACCCACACTATCAACTTTGTAGACATAAAGCAGTCCCCGTTAACCCCTACTGGGTTTTCAGTGTTCCAGACAGTGTTGTTCACAGATGATTTTCTTTGTTACCAAAGTGAAAAAGCAAGATCCAAGGATGAGTTTTCCTGAAGAGAAATGCTTCATCTCAGTACAAAGCTGTCTCTATAAGGCTCTTTGCTCTTCTTTTCTCTCTCACAGGGATTTTGTTTACTCTTTCATAACACCAAGAGGCATCCATCAATTTGGCTGTCAGAAAATTCCCATTATCTACAGGATGCTGTTGCATACTTCACAATAAAAAATGGTAGCCAAACACTGAGATGGTTCAATCAGAGGTTACCCTTTCCATGGAGCTCTGTTGTCTTCTGCTCCTACATCCATGGCCATTCCATCGATTCTCTATAGCCAAGTTCACTTTCATTTGTGGACTGACACGAGCGTACTGTCGTGCAAATTGAGGATGGAAAATGCAGGTGGATGCTCAGGAGAAGGATGGCATAAGGATAGGAGAGATTCAGTATGCACACTGCATCAATCACTTGGCTGCAGAATGGGGAACTTGGTCATCAGCTACAAAAGGAGCAATACATTTCATGTTTTAGCCACCTCATATGGGAACAGAACAATGAACTTGCTTCACTGGCAATGTTCTTTCCGTGTGTCTGCCATGAGAGGAGATGAATACTCACTGAGTGTGCTGAACACTTGCCCAGAAGTCCTAAAAATTGCAGGATTGCTAAGACTGTGCAGTGCTTCAGTCCGTAACAAATCCATTGTCATGTTCTTCCAAGCAGTACAGGCACTTCCAGGAATAAAACTCATACTGAGGATCTGTTCCAAAGTCTACTGAAGTTGGTGGCTGTTCTTACAAGGACTAAACCAAAGGCCCTTCTTATAAGCATACTTGAGTGTAATGGTAAGCAGGAGTAGGAAGTGCATTTGCTTCCTCTAGAGCGTGCTATTTTCAAGAGAAGGAGGCAGTGACACTGTCAACTTATTATTCTTGTTCTTGAGAAGCTGGTGAACATGAGTAGGCCATGAACGCTGCAGTTCTTTGGAGCTAACTGCATAAATGTCTAATCCTCTTCCAATTCGATTTGGAGGAATTTTTCACACTGTCACAATCACAAAATGATTAGATGTTTGGCTTAGAATGGCTACTGAAGGTCACAAAGGTGCAGCCTCAGTGTGAAGAGAGTAGAAAAGAATGGGGAAGTTATAGGGGACAGGACCAGAGCTAAAATTCAGCTATGATAGTTGCACTTGGACGAGCTTTCCAAAAACACGGAAACAAAATCTCCACCCTGCCAAAATGATATGAGCTATACTAGATCCATAAATAGGCAAGCAGAAAAAAACAGGCTCTAATTGTTTTGAAATGGCCCTCCTCTTTAGTGGTGGTATTCTTTACTTGTAGCCAAGCAGCTCCTGTAAAAACCTCAGCTCTTTCCTATGTTTGTACACATCAAAGAAATGGCTCCTAGTACAATCCTCGCAAGCAAAGCATCCTAATGATTGATGCAGTAGAATGGCAAATGTGCTCAGCACCACCACATAAAGTCAGTTTTGATCCATGGAGCCATTCAAACCAGCCGTGGTGATTAGTAAACCATATTCCGCAGCGCAAGACATAAGCTTGCTCCAGTCAAACAAAGGACTTAGTAGTGACTCTGGAACAAATGCCTCTCTGAATTCTCCAGGCAATCTGTATACTGGGTTTTGTGATGAAATTTCCACCTTAATTCCAGGCTCTGCCAAAATACGAAAAGGGCATAGCGGTAGTTGTTAAACCTATGCATATCTTTCTTTGCTCCAGCATTTATGGTTTTTATGGGTTGTGCTATACAGTCTGTACCTTTTAAGACAGCAATACTGTCAATACATATTTGAGAAGACTTGTCAGGAGCCCAATTTGGTCTAATAAAGCCATATCTTTCATCTTGCATTCTGCAAGAATGTGGAGCTCATTTTAAAGGCACAGAGTCTGCAAGTCATCTCAGCCAAACTTCACAGAAGATAATTTCCAAATCACTACCATAATTAATTAAAGGTAATGAAAAATTAATTTTAATAGTCAATGGACATATCAATAAACCAAAGGTATAATAAGCTCTGTAACCTAAAATATTTACAAGGTTAATAATTGGGCATAGATTCTGCAATAAGATACTAGTCCTGGCTTCTACTAAAAGAATTCCCTAGCCAACATTGCAATTCTGGGATGTGAGACCAGCTTGGGGCTGGCCTGTCTAGTAAACTTACTCCTGTTTGTGGGTCAGTGGAAAAGGGGAAGAGAGGTTTCCAGAAAAGAGAAATAAATAGCTTTATCAGATATTACTTTCCTCTTGAAAAATATTGCTGTGTTAATTCTAGCTTCATTCTTTTTCATGGTCAAGTCATCTTTCTGGTTTAGCAGACAGAAGTCACCTAGAATATATGTCGGCTTCTGTCAGTAATTGCTCTCCCAGCTGTGATGTTTTCCAGCTGGGACTGATGGAAACAACTAAAGGAGAAGAGGGATGCTTTAGGTTCATACTTTTCTGGGTTATATTTCCCTCTCTGTGGGTGGGCTTGGGGAAGGGAGTCTATCAGGAGTACTGTATAGTGTGATCTTTCAGCTGTGAGGTACAAATGAGAAAGTGAATAGAAAGAGCCTCAAAGGTTATTTATGATCAAGACCGTGATTTCAATCTCTGTGTTCTGGCATGGCTCCTCATGGAGATGTGATGGAGGAAAAAGGCAAGAGGATTGTAAGCTTTTTGGGTGATTTTTTCTCATACCTTTTTAATGCTGATGTGCATTCTTTCCTCATAGTAGACTTTAGTGACTTTCAGCCTTTAAATACTGAGCGTGGATTGCACCCAGGCCCTGAGAGGCTCTACTAGGCCATTAGCATCCCCTAAACTATCATTAAAAATAATAATAATAATAGAGTTAAATGTCTTCAATTACAGGCTATGGATAGGAAATATTTGCGAATTACCTCCAAATCAAAATGGAGCTGTACTATTTGGGGTTCTATGTTTTAGTTGTACTTCAGGTTTACTATAATCTTGTATGAGGATTTGGTCCTACCTTCAAGTATTGCCAGTACTTACAGAGGAATATATGAAAAAAGAATACCTAAAACAACAACAGCAACAACGAATCTCTTTGGTGTATCATGTAAGGGGAACTAGGATGATACTTTTGATTTTTTATTGCATTTTTATGTAGAGTAGGCAAAGTAAGGGGGAAATAAAAAGCCCATTGTGCCTTCTGATATCATCTGCTGCCTGTGGATGGTCCCCATGTTGAGGTCACTCCCCAGAAGAGGGAATAAGCATAACTGTGACTTGCTGGTCTGTGTGAAATGGCCCTTTTGCTTTTGTGGTCTAACAAACATTTGCAGAACCAACCAATATGCAAATTCCGCTCAAGGTCACTTCTGTAAATCTTTCTGGCTCCTGTACCTGTACTAGGCTTTAACTGTATATCAAAGCATTTATAATCTGGGCCCTTATTTTAACAATTAGTCTGATTTTATTGAGAGTGACTGCCCTGATCAATGACATAAATCAGGCGTATTGTCAAAGGTTGGCCCAAGACCTGGTTAAGTTTGCGCTGGATGACAAGTCTGTCTACAATTTATTTTTCTCCTTGTCTGTATTCAGAGTCAATGTGAAATCTCACCTCAGAACATGATAGTGCTTTGTGGGCTTGAAATCAGCTTTAGATAACTCAGAGTCTTGTAAATGGCCCTTTTGATCAATGAACTGAACAGAAAAACCTCTAATCAACAGAAAAAAAAAGTCTCTGTGGCCAGGGCTTCTAAAAATAGAGAAGGTATGGAACCTCAGCTATTTCACAGTGGATTTTGATGCATTCATGAAAATAATTGCGACAGTGCAGGTGTAACCCTGTAGTTAAAACTAGTGATGTGAGGATTGCAGTGCCCAATATGCTAATTTCTGGAGGGGTTTAGAGAGAAACTATAGTGAACTGTACTTAACTGCATTTAATCTCTGTCTCCCTTGAAAGGGAATTTAAAAACTTTTTTTTTTTTTTTCTTTTCTCCTTGGTTTTAAGTTAGCTTTCAGTTCTCGTGGCTTCTTTGAACATGTGAATGTTCCTGGAAAAATCTCTGATTCTTGTAGTCTTTCTTCAGATTTGGAGTAATAAATAGAGGCTGAAAAAAAGGTTTCACCCGTGTCATTAACAGGGCCTTTTCTTTTTTGCTGTGTTGGGTGTGATACATCTTCCAGGGTCACATGGAGCCTGGGGAAGATCTTGGACTGAAAACTCTCAGTGGTGGAGATCTGATAACTATGAGTATATTGCCACTCCACCTGCCCTGGGGCAAAGGAGAGAGACAAAACACTGTGTGCAACCAGCAAGTCCATGATCTGTCCACTACTATCAAGGACAGGCAGCACAACTATGCAGCTTCGTTCTCAGTTCAGATAAATTGAATCAACTCCCTTCTGCTACTTCTAGGTTTTATCTGCATTATTAAGC